GCGATGTTTAGCGTCCTGCGCGCTTGTGTGTTGGTCCCCCCGCGGCCCCTCAAAGGCCGCGCACCAAAGGTCACTCTTACCCGGGATCACTCTTGCGTGTAGCCGAGCAATGTGCGGAGACCAGTTCGAGGCCCACGTTTTCAGAGAGTGCGAGCGCGAAGTTGCGAGGAGCATGCTGGTATGGAGCGTGTCTGACTTTGAAGCTCTTGGGGGGGGAGGAGGGCCCGGGAAGCCAGCTGCAGCCCTCGGCTTCCCCGGCCCTTCCCCCCCGTCGTCTGTCTATCTCGGCCCTCGTCGCCCCTGCCCCCCGCATCATGCACTGCCAGGAGGACAGCACCAAACACACACACACACACACACACACGGGCACAGGTCTCAATGAACACTTGGACACAGATCATCGCCGATTCCCAGGGGAACGTTGGGAAGAGATTGGGAAAGGGAGGGGGGGAGGGGCGGTATTTCAGAAGATAGATGGAAACACGTGGGGAATCCTGGGCTATGCGCTATGCGCGTCCCTGGGCGCCTTCAGCCTGGGAGGGGGAACATCAGAGGAGGAACAGGTACCCATTCCGCCGCTACCCTCGCCTCGTTTTCGCCGATTTGGGCCTCCCGGGAGGCCTTCGCCGCAACCGCTGGATTCGCTTCGAAATCCTGGTCAGAACGCAGAGTGGGCGTGGTCTGAGGAGCAGCGGTGTTGCCGCCGTTGGGAACCTGTCAACGTGTCACTCCTTCCGTTGTAGTCCGAACGCACTGTGTTCCTTCACCAGTAAAGCGGTGGTGGATTCTCTACGGCGGCTTGTCATTGATCCTGCTGTTTGTTTGCCACCCCATTTCCCAGACATCTGGCGAAGTGAATTTTCCAGTCCGCGGGCCGCGGAGGTCTGGAACCCCCTTTGGCGCCAGTGGCTCATCCCGGAACAGTGTTTGAAGGTATCCAACTGGTGTTTCTGGTGCGATCCGAGTTCGCGATTCGTTACACCTCCTTCTTCAAATGTCGGGATAGTCCTCCTGAAGGGCAGCGGGCTATATCCTATGCATGGTTGTTGTTACGTATGTTTGTTAATCGTCCTTCTCGTTCCGGATCGCCTTTCTTTCCATGGCCGCCTTCTGGTTGGCCAGGGCTCTTCCCCTTTCCCCCTCCTTTCCTCCCACCTACTTCCTCCTCCTGCCTATTCCTGCCTCCTCACTCTCAGTCCTGCCAGACTGCCACCCCCTCCCCGGTCCCAGACATCCTCCGATATGATTTCTCTCGCTTGGCGGGGTGCACGTCTGTGCGGGCAAAACTTGTGTCCATATCCACTGCAGCTTGGGGTTTCGGGCTCCCTTCCCCAGAAAGCCGAGGAGCACTGGATATGGATAAAAATCAGGCCCCTACAAGAGGCTCGAATTTTATCTATATCCAGTGCGCCTCGGCCTTGCGGCGCCCCTTCCACGAAAGTCCAAGACGCCCTAGACATGGATATAGATATTGCCCGCAGTCTGGACTGCGAAGAGCACGGGCGTCAGGGGTGTCCTTGAAGAAGTGTTTGGAAGCTTCTTGGCGACCTCTCGAGGGCCTTACTGGGGCCTCTTGGGGGCCTCTTGGAATTCATATGCTGGCTTCCTGGCGGCAGGGGGAGGGGGGGAGGGGGCTGGTCACGTCACGAGCCGTACCCGTGGAGGGTGGACGGAGAGGCCCGGGTTACTGTCTGTACTGGGAGCGGCTCGTCTTGGGGCCACTTTGGAGCCGTCTTGGTGCCACATCGGGCCGTCTTGCAGCAACCTTAGCCGTCCAGAGGCCTCGTGGAGCCCTGGAGGCCGATATCTCAGATTTTCCATGCGTTCCGTCCGCCTCTGCCTCCGCGGCCGCCTCCGTTTCCGTTCTTCGTCTATTGCACGCTCTGGCGAATAAGTTGTTCTGGCGGCCCAGTTTCCTTGTGCACGCGTTTAAGCTTTGCGACGCCGCCGACAGAAAGTCAGCACAATGCAACCCCAAGTTCAAATGCCGACGAGCAGTGCAACAGCTCGCCAGTAGTATCCAATCTTCGTGGTTTCTTGGGGCCGTTAAGGTGGCCTCTTGGAGGTATCTTGGAGGCCTCCTAGGGGCCTCTCGGGGGCCGCTTTGGGGGATCTCGGGAGGCTTTTGCGCCATCTGGCCCCTTCGGAGGCCGTGTTGGGGGCCTCTCGGGGGCCGCCTTGGGGCTCTCTTGGGGCCGTCTTGGGGCCGTCTCGGGAGCCTTTTGGGTCCGTCTCGGGGCCACTGCAGGGGCTCCTTGGGCTGTCGTGCCTCCCCCGAGAGCCACAAAACACAGACTGCCAGCATACAACCGTAGCGAAATCGGGAAGGGCAAGTTATGCTTGTGGCCTCTGGAGGCGCTCTCGGGGGCCCCCTTGGGGCCCTCTGGGGCCGTCTTGGGGGCCTCGTGGGCCCTATTGGGGCCATCTTGGTCCTGAGGCCGTCTTGGCCTGTCTTGGGGTCCCATTGGGCCGTCTTGAGGCCCTCGTGGGCCCCCAAGAGGACCAAGAGGCTGACATGTTCGATTTCTGCACGTTGCAGTACGTCTTTGGCCCCAAGACTGGGGGTCGTCAGATGTGGTCCGGCGACGTGGCGCGACTCCGGGGGGGTGGTCAGGGGGAAGACATAATAGTAATGTGGCACTTAGAAGATGTAGCAAGCATGGAAGATTTGATATCTTGGATGCATTGCATTAGGGCGTTCGCCTAAAGAACGCTGCCACGCAGCACGTCACCTCGGGATGTGGATGCTTGGGCTTGCGCCACACTGCCGACCCGGGCCATCTCGGGACAATTTCGGAGGCTTCTGGGTTGTGTTGCCCCCCCCCCCCCCGAGAGCCAAACAACACGAGAACATCAAAATGCAGCAACAACCAAGAAGGTTAATTCATGTTTGTGGTCTCTGGATTCGCCCTTGGGGACCCCTTTGGGGCCGTCTTAGGGGCCTCGTGGGCCCTCCTGGGCCCGTCTTGGGGCCATATTGAGCCGTCTTGAGGCCCTCGTGGGGTCCCAAGAGGCCGATCATTTGATTTCCAAACGTGTTGGTACGTTCTTGACCCCCACACTTGGGGTCGTCAGATTCGGTCCGACGATGTGGCGCGACTCCAGGGGGGGTCTGGTGGGAGACCTATTAGTGTGGCACGCTTACAAGATGTAGCAAGTCTCTGCAAGCATTGGGTATCTTGGACACGTTGCATCAAGGCAGTGACCGAAAATCGCTGCGTTCAGCACGTCACCTCCAGACGTGGATTCTTTGGTTTTCGCCACGCCGCCGACCTCTTGGGGGACAGGCGAGTCTTGTGTGTTGCTCCTGTGGGCCTCTTGAGCGCTTTGTGGGGTATTTTCGGAACTCGTTCGATTGTCGAAGACGCCTACGGCGAATCACCGCCGCCCCCTGCCTTTGGAATCGCCCATGCGGCCGAGCGTTGTGGCAAGAGCTCTGCCAAGCAATCGGACCATGCGTTCTCCCAGCTATTGTGGAAACCCTTCGGGGAACACTTCGGAGAGGATGGCAGGGAATACCAGGAGGAGGAGGAGGAGGAGGAGGAGGAGGAGGAGGAGGAGGAGGAGGAGGAGGAGGAGGGAGGAGGAGGAGGAGGAGGAGGAGGAGGAGGAGGAGGATGAGGAGGAGGAGGAGAGGGCATCTTGGGAACCTCTGGGGGCACTCTTAAGGGAGCTTCCTGGGAGCCCCTGGGAGGCACCCTGGGAGCCTCCTTGGGCCCCTTTGGGACCTTTGGGGGCTTCTCGGGGACCTCCTTGGCAGTCTTCGGGCGTTCCTGGCCTGTCTGACGCCGTCGGAAGCCGTCTTTGGGACCTCTCTGGGCCGGCCTCGGGCCCTCGTGGGGTGTTCCATGGCCGTCTTGGAGACCACTGTGGGCGTCTTGGAGGCCTCTGCGGCCGTCTTGGGAGCCTCTTGGGCCGTACCGGGGCCATTCTGCAGGCCTCTCGGGCGATCTTGGCGCGATCTTTGGGGCTCTTGTGCCGTCTCGGGCCGTCGGGAGGCCGAAAATCATTGAATCCCAATATCTTTCTGATACAACCTAATAATGGTTGTAGCCTCTTGGTACCTGGCGGCCGTCTTGGCGACCTCTTGGGGGACTCGTGGGCCGTCTTGGGACATCTTGGAGCCTTTTTGGGCTGTATTGGCAGGCTCCTGGCCCTTCGACGCCGTCGGAAGCCGTCTGGGGGGCCTCTCTGGACCGACTTCGGGCCTTGTTGGGGTGCTCCAGGGCCGTCTTGGAGGACATCTTGGGCGTCTTGGAGGCCTCTTGGGCCGTCTTGGGGCGATCTTGGGGCTGTCTCTGGGGCCTCTTGGGCTGTTCTGGAGCCATCCTGCAGGCCTCTTGGGCGATCTTGGCGTTATCTTTGGGGTCTGTTGGGCCGTCTCGGGCCGTCGGAAGGCCGAAAAGAAGCAAATGCCAACATTCTCAGACAAACCTGAGGAACATCGATGCTGGGGACCCTCCAGGAGACCTCGTGGGCCGTCTTGGAGACGTCTTGGGGGCCTCTTGGGCCGTCTGGGGCCATCTCAGAGCTATTTTGCTCCTGGCCCTTTTGACGCCGTCGGAAGCAGTCTTGGGGGCCTCTCTGGGCCGACTTCGGGCCCTGCTGGGGTGCTCCAGGGCCATCTTGGAGGCCATCGTGGGCGTCTTGGAAGCTTCTTGGACCGTCTTGGGGCCCTCTTGGGGCCGTCTGTGCGAGTCGTCGGCGGAAATTGCGCAGCGGTATTGATCTCTGATCTTTTGTCTGAACTCCTCAAGTTCGGGCCCTGCTCACAGGGCGTCTAAACTCCCGTGCCTCTGAGCACAAGCGAGGGGGCGCTAGAGCCGAGACGGTAGCAGGCAAAATACACATGTCAAACTACACAATCAATCACAAACTGAAACCAAGCAACAATATGGAATATGGAAACAAATATGAAACATCTGCCACCCTGCTGGACTCACTCACTCATGCTCAGGCTTGCTCAACCTCGGAATTGCACGGATAAGGGTCCTCCAAGCTGAGCATCCTTGAGTCCGCCTCCTCGTCTGAACTGTACTCGGTCATGGCCTCATGTGGCGGGAAGTCTGGGCACGCAGCTGCACTGATGTGGGCCATTGTCCCGCCTGGCGTTTTGAGGATACCCGCTCCCACGTGCTCGAACGGCTGGATTCCAGCGGCCTTCCTCCTCCGTGCACTTTGGTACTTCTCGTCGTAGACCAGCTTCCAGCGATGCCCGTTGTTGAAATACATCCGCAGCTGGCCTGGCTCGTGTCCCTTCGTCAGCGAGTTGGCGAGTTGGGCATCCCCATGTACCCAGAGCATCCAGTTGTTCGCCGCCTGCGTCCCCTCCTTCAGGGTCGTGGCCTCCACGTCGGTCCGCTTCTCCTTGCCCCAGAAGGTGTAGACCGTCGTCTGCAGCTTGTCGTACAGGCCCTTTGAATCCACAACCACTGCTCCTGGCAGTCTGCGTAGAATCCCCTCGGGCTTCCTCCAGTCGATGTTGTTGCCTAGGAGCTCTAGCCACTGCAACTTGATGCCAAACAGCTCGTCCTGAGCATCCACGGCGGAGCGTGTCTCACATGCCACGGAACTGCGGCAACCACGATCGATCTTCCCGGACTTCCAGGATATGAGGCTCACGTCCGCCTCGTATCCCCTGAGGATCCTTAAAGGTGCCAGTCCCGCCACCAGGCCCTTCGTGGACTTTCCGTCGGGACGGTTGGCCTCGGAGGAGTCGGACCACTCCACTGGCACCAGCACCTGTGCCTGAGAGTGGCTGTGTATCACTGCGGGTAGATCAGCACACTCACGGACACGATCGACCAGGCGGTTGGTCTCGTTGATGGTCTGCACGGTGGACGATGGTATGGTGCTGAGCAGAAGGCTCGTGTCGGCCGAGTGCATGGGGCCTGACTGCTCGGATCTCCACCCGATGGCCCTTAAGATAGCCCTCAGCTGGCCCTTCTCCTTGTCGGTGGTCGGCATGTCCTTGGCCTTCTTGCGCTCCGGGGTGAGGTACGCCTTCTCGATGGTCTTCACATACTCGCTCTGGTCCATGCGGAAGCTCCTGTCGGGCTGCTGCTTGATCCGCACCCCCGTCTGCATGAACTCCTCCGACTCCCAGGCTTTCCACTTGAAGCGCTTCTCAATCTGTTCCCGGGCGGTGATCCACCGGGGGTCCGTGTCGTTGCCACCGAGCAGGAAGTCGTACACGTGCGACCCTGCAATGGCTATGATGTCCATGTCCCCCTTCGCCGCGATCAGGTCCCCGAGCACCTCTGGGTTCGTGAAGTCCTTCAGCGCCTCCTTGGTGAAGCCGTTATCCTTGCCGTGGCCGTCACCGTAGAGCACCCACACGCAGGGGTCCATCTTCATCTGGGTCCAGCCGAACTCCTCCAGTGCCTCGCTCACGGTCATGAACCACTCGATCGCTGCTTCCACGAGCCCGTAGACCGCCTTCCTGAGCCGCATCGCAACGCCCTCGGGCATCCCCAGCGCCGCCGCGAGCTCCTTCACAGGCATCACGAACAGGTCATGCTGGATCTCTCTGTTCTGCGTGAAAGCCCCCGTCACGTCCGCTTTGTAGCCTTTGAAGCCCAACCACGCCATCGTCTGCAGCACCAGGTGCCTCGAAGTCCTCGTCATGGTTGGGGCGGTGGTCGGACGGTGCTCGTACTCGGGGTCCATATAACCCGGGACCACAATCCTTGCCTTCGGAGGGGGTTGGAGGGTGGGGGGGTGGGGGTGGTTGGGGTTGGATGGGGGGGTGTGTGGGGGTGTTGGGGGGGGTTGGTGGGGGTTTGGGGGGGGTATTGGGGGTGTGCGGTGGTGGGGGGGGGTGGGGGGGGTGGGGGGGGGTGCTGGTAGGGGTGGTGGTGGGTGGGGGTGTGTTGGGGGGGTGTTGGTTGGGTTGGAGATGGTTGAGGGTTTGTGGCGTGGTGGGCGGTGGGGTGGGGGGGGGGGCGTGGGTTTGGTTGTTTTTGTGTTTTTTTCTTTGTCGTTCTTTTTGTTTTTTTTTTTTATTTTTTTATTTTTTTTTTTTTTTTTTTTTTCCTTTTTTTTTTGTGTTCATTTTATTTTTTATTTTATTTGTTTTTATTTTTTTTGTTTTTTGTCTTGTTTTTTTTTTTTTCTTTCTTCGTGCCCGTGTTCTCGTCCACCTTCCACTCGAGGATCCACCTCATGCGCATGACGTCCTCGGGAGGCGGAGTCACGCCTGGTGGGAGCGTCTCCAGCACCGAAGACACAATGTATTTGTTCACCTCCGTGGCCTTTGCCTGGCCGAACTTCGCCACCTCGTCCGGGGTCAACGTTCTTTCCGAGATCTCGCGCTTGCCTTTTCGCAGCTGGCTCGCCATGTAGGTACTCATGTGCCGCGTGGCCTGCTTGAGCGGCTTCCCCTCCAGGGGAACCTCAACAGAGACCTCCAGTGACGTGCCCTGACGAGCCCAAAAGGCCCGGGCGTCTGGAGTGGACTTCGCCATGAGGGCCATGTTCTCCTTCATCGGCTCCTCCTCCAGGGCTGCTCGAGACGCTCGGACTTGGTCGGCTGTTCCTCCTGGATGGTATCCTTTCTTGAGTATTTTCTTCCGCACTGGTGGTGTTGAACTGCCCCTTGAGGCCTGGCTTCCTTCTGTGGCTTGTCCTGTGCGGGCTTTCTTCAGTGGAGGGGCTGGTTCAGGTAGTCCCTCCCAGGTCGAGACCTCCATGTCGTCCTCGGTGGGGTCGTGGCCCGTGAAGTCCCAGGTATTCGTGCTTCATCGTCTGGTTCATGAAGGTGTGGACTGTCCAGGGCGTGTCTTTGCCTCCCATCAGCTCTGCGTAGGCGATCTCCCGTGAGGAGGCTGCCTGGATCTGGCAGAGGTCCACCTTGATGATACGCCCGGCTCGTACAAGCCACACCACAGATCCTGCACGCCCAGGGTGTAGGGCCCGTCCTTCGCCAAGGTCCCCGTCCACCGGCCGCGCCGTCTCTGTGGCCAGGACCCTCGCGAGCCCTTTGAATCGGCCCTTGGCTTCACCCTTCTCCTTCCGGAAGTAGCGCACCCACGTGCCTGGCACCGCGGACTTCACCGCCTGATTCTTCGCGTTCTCTGCCCTGCTGATGCGTCGCATGTAGACTTGCCTCAGGTACTCCTGCTCGGCAGCATACATCCTGGTGTAGTTCTCCCCGAACTCCTTGTCTTTCCTCTGGGCCTCCACGTAGGGCAGTTCGTCGAAGTCGCTCTCAAAGAAGTGTCCGTCCAGGTCTGGTGCTCGCCCGAGGGCATGTTGAAGGGGTGAGTGTCCTCGGACATCTTCTCGTGAGTTCCCAGCTGCGGTCGCTCTGGCCAGGGCTTCCTCCGTCGTCATCTCGGGGTTCTCCGTCACCAACTTGTCCATGGTCCCCTTGGTGGCCTGGATGGCCTCCTCGGCGAGGGAGATGTGCCAATGGGCCTGGCCAGGTATGGGTTCGTACGCGATGGAGTCGGAATCAAAGTACTCAGCCGCCTGCTTGGACATCCAGGAGCCCTCGGGGTCCACCTTCACCCTCTGTGGCTTGCCGAAGTAGGGCATCCAGCGCTCCTCATAGATCTGCTTGAGGTCGGCCCACACGGGATTCCTGTGCCGGTCCTCGCCAACCATGTGGTACAGTAGCTTGCTGACGCGCACCCGGCAGTTCTCGTCTATGATCAGGGAGATCTTGGACTTTAACCTTCGTCTGCGGGTGCTCCCATTCAAACTGGTCCGCCTGGATGTGCTTCCACTTCGGCGGGATGGCTTCTAAGCTGACCGGCGGATGTGTGGGCTTGAACTTGTGCGCCTCTTCGCAAGCGTCACAGTGGAAGTCCTCAGCCACCTGTAGCACCTGTGGGCTGGCGCCCTTCCTCCGAAGTGCGTTCAGCATGGAGGCCTTCGAGCTGTGACCTGAGCCACGGTGGATTGAGGTGAGCCACCTCATGATCTGCTGGTACTCCTTCGAGCTAAAGTCCGAGTTCATCTTTGTCTCCTCTTGGTTGGCTGCCATCGCCTGGTCGGCCGCCTCCCCGGGCTCCACCACGCACCTCATGAACTCGTGGTAGTCGGGCGCGGCCTCCTCGGTCATCGCGCGCACAGCTCGTCTGGCAAACTCGTCCGGGTAATAGCTGGTGGCCGCTGTCAGACTGCCTCCTGTGAGCTCCCCATGTCGGTGATCTCCTGGGCATTCCAGGGACATCCGGGCTGCCATCTTTGGAGACGTCGTAGCGATAAGCCACTCCTTTAACAGCGGCAGGCCCTTCCCGTCCTTCACGCCGAGCTGGCAGCCTGCCACCTTCACCACCGTCATGGAGCAGTCCTCCACCATCTTCCTGATCATCGTGTGGCCCCAGCCCTCGCACTTGATGGGCCACTCCCAGTGTACATGCTTGCCTTGAGCCACCTGGTCATACACCAACTGCACCGCGCCCTTGTACTCCTTGATGGCCTGCAACCTGCGCTTCCTGGTGGCCTCCGCCCTGATAGGGTTGGAGCCGTTGAAGCCGAGGGTGAGGGTAGACAGGGGGCCGCACCTCGTACTGATCCACAGGTGGTCTGGTTCAGCCTCATCACGTGCCTCCCGAGCCCTCTGGTTGCCGCCAGGTGTCCCCAGCTTGAAACCGTTCCACGCACTGATGCGGCATACAGCGTCCTCGCCGAACTTCTCCGCCATCTTAGTGCTCAGGATGGATGTCGGGCTGCGCGCGACCTCCATCAACTGGGCACTGCCGTGGGCCATCAGCGCCTCGTAGTCCTCAACGTGGCCGCTCTCCTGGATGCACTTGGCAAGCCAGCGCTGCTTCCTGGGGTCCAGCTCCTTCGTGCAGTTCAAACCTCTGCCAGACCACTCGGACTGGAACCCGCTTGTATGAAGCTCCCGGCGTTGGAACTGGCTGAGCTCGCCTGGCCCCCCAGCTGGCCGAGCCTCTGGTTGAGCTGGTTCAGTGCCGTCAGCATCTGCTCCTGGACCAAGCGGTTGGACTCCTTCTCCTCCTTCTGCACCTTGATCGCAGCCTCGAGCTTCTCCTGCTCCTCGATCTCGTCCTCCATGATCGCGTCTACCGTTCTCCTGCGGGATGACCTCGCGCCCCCTCGAGCCTTGTCCGGCTCTCTCGGGGCCTCCTTCGGATCCCTGGTCACCCCGGCCTTCTTGTCGATGATCTCCTGCTCGTTGAGCCATGAGGCAAACCGGGCCAGCTCCCAGCTGCTCTCCTGGTTCGCCTCTTTCTGGCACCAGGCTGCGTAGGATGGGTACTGGCTCCGAACCTGCTGGTAGGTCATGGCTCCGTGCTTCCCGAAGCCCATGTAGTCGGTCGGCTCCGGGGTATGCTTCATGAGGATGGCCTTGCGGATCGAGAGCTTGAGTGACGGATTCGTCATGCCTTGTGTCACGTGGGCGCCTACCTCCTCTGCCTTCGCCAAGAGCTGGGACTTCTTCATCGAGCTGAGACCCTTCATGGCCATCTGCACTGGCGTCTCGTCCTTCGGAAACATGTGCTCCTTGAGGACCTGCTTCAGCTCGTCCACGCCCCAGGCCGGACTGCGCGGTAGGCCAAGCTCCTGAAGTAAGTGAAGCACCTCCGCTTTGTAGAGGCCCTGTACTGCACTGCGAGACGTTGGCATCCGGAGTGGTCGCACCGCACGAGCATGCGATCCTGGCGCAGGTGAGCTGCACCGCTCTGCGGATGATGTTACCCCAGCGCATCTCTTTGCTGACATCGACGGCCTTCGGCCTGGAATATGGAATATATGGAAGATCTGGTGGATCTGGAACTGCGGGTGGCTGGATGCCGTCGGTCGCTGTCGACTCGAGTGAACTTGCCTGGCTCGAGCCCGAACGGCTATGGATCTGCAGCGGGACCCCCTGGTTCACTTGGGATGCCCGGTTCAGCTGGAACTGAGACTGGACACTGGGACGGTCGCTGCCTTCAACTGCGGGACCCTTCTGAGGCTGTGGCCAACTGTTGTGATGAATGCTGCGGGCTTGGCCACACGACTGGCCTCTGCACGCACCTGCTGAAGCAACTGGAGACACATCGGTGACAATGGTGTGATCAGATTGAGATGGATACATGTAGCGCTCCAACTGCTCAGCCCGGTCATCCGAGCTGCTGTCCGGCCCCTGGCACACTGCGGCCACGGGCTGGCGGTCCCACTCACGCATGCTCTCGCAGATGGTCTTGAAGTTCCGCAGCTGGCTCTGGTCCTTGACGCGCTGCTCCAGCAAGTCGTCGACCAGGCTCAGGTAGTAGTGGCCTCCGTCAGGTGACTCCTCCAGCTGCACGGGGATGTCCGGTGCGAGCTTCACGAACACGGCCACCCCAGTCTCGCAGTCCACGACGGCCCCGAGCTTCTTCAGCACCTTCTTGGACACCAGGATCGGGACATCCTTCGAGAAACCGTTGATGGCGATGTCGCCTTCCACGCCCGCGCCCGTGATGCCGAACTTCACCTGTCCGTAGGCGCGCTCCTTCTCGCCATTCCCGAAGCTGTAGACTGGCCTGTAGTCCAGGTTCACGTCCAGCAGCCTGGTGTCGCCATACTTCTCCAAGTTCTTGCGGGCCACGATGTCCAGGGCGCGCTCACCACCCATGGCGTCCGTGCACCCTAAGTCGACGATGCCCTTGCCCTCGAGGATGGCCTGGTCCGCAAACATCGCCTCGCACTCCGACTCCCGGGGCTCCTGCTCGGCGACCAGCGAGGCCACGAGGTTGAACTTCAGCTCCTTCCTGCACTCTGCCACAATCGCGCTCGCGTCTGGCGTGCCTGCAGCTCCCGGCCGTAGACGTGGGTCATGATGGTCCGGGCAGTCCTGAGCCCAGTGGGGCCCTCCACACTTCGCGCACTTCTTCTGCCCCTTGTTTGGTGGCAAGATCTTGCCTTTGCCTCCTACCTGGGGAGGAAGTGGTCGGCATGATCCCGCTGGGAACCCCTTGCCTGACCCCTTCGGCGCTGGCCGACCTCCCCTGTGGAAGCCCCTGCTCAGCCTGCTGTCTGCCTGAGCTTCACGAGCCTGGCGGAGGGTGCGCTGGGCGGTGTGGATCGCCGCGAGCGCCTCCGTCTCCTCCTGTTGAGCCGCCAAGTAGCTCTCGATGTCGTCATCGTTCGCCTCCTCTGGGCCTGGTTCTTCCTCCTGCCACTCGCTGTTCTCCATGTCGGCTGCGAAGCTGCTTGCATCTGGTGCCTCATCTCCGTCAAGCCATGTGCGATCATCTTCTCCGAGCTGGGCCGTATACGCCTTCGGGAACCGTGAGTGCCCATCACGCTCCGCCAGGTCATCGTCCTCCCAGCTCGAGATCAGCTTCTCCCGGATGGTGTTGACCTCCAGCGAGCCGCCGGTTGCCGTCATGATGGCCGCCCGCTCGCGCGAGTCGAGCCCTGACCGCGCGAGCATCAGCCAGCCCAAGACCAGGCTCGGGAATATTTCTGGCATGTCCACGAGCTCCTCCTCGGCGTCCGCATCCTGGTCAGCAGCGCTCCAGAGGTGTGAGTCCTCATTCTCATCGTCTGGCAGGCCGTCCGTGTACTCCCATGTCCATTCGCTACCCTCGAATGGCCAGCCACGTTCGACCTCGACCCAGCGGTATGGTCGCCCTGTCCACTTCCATGCTGGAGCGACCTGGACCGGGACTGTGTGTCCCAGCGCGCGTGCCAGCGCGCGCCTGAGGTACTGGTACCCTGTCTCGAAGCGGTCCGTCCACTGCTGCATTGGCTCGAGCTTGCGGCGCTTCGTCTTGATCAAGAACGTCTCGAGCTCCTGGCCTACGTCTGGCACGGCTTGTCGAGAGCATCTGCGCTCCAGCCACGCCAGGAGCCGCTCCACGCCATCTGGTCTGGAGAGCCACCCAGCCTTGCAGCGCTCGACCGCGATCTCGGCCCGTCCCGTGAGCTTCGCCTCCAGCCTCGGGCCGCACAGGTACCGGTCCTCCCTCTTGGTGCCCTCCTGGTACTGGAGGGCCTTCCGCCTGTACGTCCGCCAAGTCTTGGGATCCCCATCCCAGCTTGGCACCTTGCCTCGATGATCCTCGGTCATCGTAGTTCCTCTCCGTGTCAACCACGTGCTCCTGCTACCATGCGAGTCGTCGGCGGAAATTGCGCAGCGGTATTGATCTCTGATCTTTTATCTGAACTCCTCAAGTTCGGGCCCTGCTCACAGGGCGTCTGAACTCCCGTGTCTCTGAGCACAAGCGAGGGGGCGCTAGAGCCGAGACGGTAGCAGGCAACATACACATGTCAAACTACACATTCAATCACAAACTGAAGCCTAGCAACAATATGGAATATGGAAACAAATACGAAACATCTGCCACCCTGCTGGACTCACTCACTCATGCTCAGGCTTGCTCAACCTCGGAATTGCACTCTCGGGCCGTCTTGGGCGCCTCGGGCACCGTCTTGGGGCCCTCGTGGGCCGTCTTGGGGCTCTCCTGGAGGCCTCTTCGGCTATCGTGGAGCGGCCGTGGGGGCCACTTGGGCCGTCTTGGAGCGTCGGGATGCCAAAAGGCTGGGGACTCTAAAATCCATCAAAACCCGATGGGAAAACCATGCTTCTTGGAACCTCTTCGGCCTTCTGGGGAGCTTCTTGAGGGCCTCTTGGGTTCCATTTGGGGGCTTCTGGGGCTTCCTGAGAGCCTCTCAGGGTGGAAGGCTCGGATTTTCGGTTCGTCTTACCCCTCTTGGGCCCCCCTTGGGGCCGTATTGGTGCCCTCTCGGGCTGTCTTGGGCCCTGTTGGAGGCCTCTTGGGCTATCTTGGATTGGTTTTGGAGGCCTTTTGGGCCGTCCTCGAGCGTCAGGGCGCAAAAAGGCTGAAAACTCTAACATCAATCAAAAACCTATGGCAAGACATGGATTTTTGCCTCTTGGGGCCTTCGTGGGAGGCCTCTTGGATACTCTTCGGCCCCCTGGGGGGCTTCTTGGGGCCTCTTGGAGCCTGTCAGGGGCTTCTCGGGGCCTCCTGAGAGCCTCTCGGGGTGGAAGACTCGGATTTTCGGTTCGTGTCAGCCCTCTTGGCTCTATCTTGGGGCCGTCTTGGGGCCCTCTCGGGCCGCCTTGGGCGCCTCTGGCGCCGTCTTGGGACCCCTGTGGGCTGTCTTGTGACCGTCTTCGAGGCCTCTGGGGATGCCTTGGAGCGGACATTAAAGCCTCTTGGGCCGTCGTGGAGCGTCCGGAAACTCAAAAGGCGAGAACTCGAAAATCGATCAAAACAAAGGAAAACAAATTGGTTGTGCCTCCTTGGGCTCCTTGGGAGCCATCTTGGAGACCTCTTGGGGCGTCTTGGAGGCCTCTTGGACAGTCAGGGACCACTTCTGGGGTGATCTCGGGCGGTTGTTGGTCGTTTTCGTTGTCTGGAAACGCCAGGGCCGTCTTCGGGCGACTTTACATGGCCCCCAGCGCCACGGCAGGGCCCCCGGGCCCCGTGTGCGAGGGCCCCGTCCTCGTGCCCGCGGCAGGGCGTCCCTGGGCCGTCTCGGCGCCCTCGTGGGGGCCTGTTGGGGTGACATTGGGTGTCTGAAATCCATCAAAAACCTAAGGACACTCAATGATTTTGGCCTCCCTTTGGGCTGTATTGGAAGCCTTGTGGGCCGTCTGGAGGCCATCTTGGGCGTGATCGAACGATATGTCCTCGTTTCGGGGCCTCTTGGGGGCCTCTTGCGGCCCTTTTCGTCTGTGTTGGGGCTTTCTTGGGCCGTCTCGGGGCGGCCCTGGGCTGTCTCGGCGCCCTCTTGGAAGCCTGTTTGGAAGACTTCTGGGTGTCCTGGACCGTCCTCCTTCAACGTCGGCGGCACTGGCGGCGGCACTGGCCGTAAGACTTCCTGGGAACATGATTTGTTGGGGTGTCGTTGGGTGCCTCCGGAGGCTTCGGGGCCTGACGCGTTTCCGAGCGTGGCGGCAGGTAGCGCTGCTTGGGACTCTCGTTTTTTTCAAATCCTGTCAAGCGTTTATAAGCATGGTTTGGGGAGAGGGCGGCAACCCGAGAATCATGTTCCCGGGAAGCTTTCTGAGAGCATGATTTGTTCGGCTGTCTTGAGAGGGGGGCTCTGGGGGCTTACCGAAGGGCCCTTTTTGGCCTTGTCGGCAAGCCTATTGGAAACATGGTTGAGGCGGTGGGCGGAAGCCCAAGGAATCATGTTCCCGGAAAGCTCTGGGAAATACGATTTACCGAGGTCTCTTGGGGGCCCGCAGGGGGTTTCCCTCGGGGGCCCTTGGGGGCTTAGTGGGGCTTCCGGGGGGCCTCTTGGGAGCCTCACGGGTCTTCTTGGGAGCATCTTGATGGCCTCCGGGGGCGTCCTAGGAGCCTCTGAGGCCAGAGACCTTGACATGTCGCGCTCTTCGGGCCCTCTTGGGTCGCTCTTGGGGCACTCTTGGGGCGCTGTCAAGGCCCTCTTGAATTATCTGAGGAGCCTCCTGGGCCGTCTCCGGTCTTTCCTTGGGGACCTCTTCGGCCGTCTTGGAGCGATTTGAAGGGCCTCTGACGCCGTCCGGGACGGTGGGGAGGCGGAACATGCGAGAGCGCAAAAATGCGGGGCCCTTCGGAAGGGGCCTCTGGAGGCGCTCTTGAGGCGTTTTGGCGGCGTCGTCGGCCGTCCTGAGGCCATCTTCGGCGTGTCTGGGGCCTCTTGGGGATGTCTTGGCAATCTTTAGGGCTCTCTTGGCGTGTCGTGGTGTGTTTGGGAGCGGGCCCGGGCAGTCCCGGGAGCCCTGGGGGCTGTTGGATGCTAGGTGTTGTCTTGGAGGCGGAGGCTGTTCAGTGCAGGGTGGCGCGTGCTACGCGAAGGCGGGCGAGCGGCCGGGCGGGCGACGGGCGGGCGGGTGGCGGGCGGGCGGGCGGGCAGGTCGGGATTTGAATGAATTCCTTAAGGATGCTCTCTTGCAGCGGGAGCTTGTTGAGTACAGGGTGTTGCCTTGATGACGGGGACTGTTGACTACAGGGTGTTGTCTTGGAGACTGAAGCTGTTGAGTACAGAGTGGTGCGTGCGTGCTACGCGGACAGCGGGCGGGCGGCGGGTGCCCTAGGTGGTGGGTCAGATGCCTCATGGGTGTTGGTTTGGATCTGGTTGGCCTGTCGGGGACGTCGTGAAGGCAGTTTCGCAACTTCTCGGTAGCCATCTTGAGTCCGTTGTGGGACCTCCTCGGGGCTGTTTTGTGGCCTCTTGAGGCCTTGTTTGGGTCTCCTGGGTGCCTCTCGGGGGCCTCCTGGGGCCTCTGGGGGGCTCCTTGGGGCCTCCTGGGGCACTCTTCAAGCGGGAGGCTCGAATTTTGGAGTCGTGGTCCCCCTCTTGGGCGCATCTTGGGGCCGTCTTGGGGCTCTCTGGGGCGCCTCTGGGGCCGTCTGGGGGCCCTCTTGGGCCGTCTTGGGGCGCTCTTGGGGGCCTATGGAGCCGGCCTGGAACGTCGGACAGCCGAGAAGGCTGGAAGGCCAAAATCTTTCCAAAACCTTGGTAAAATTGACGGTTTTGGTCTCTTGAAGCGCTCGGGAGAGGCGTCTTGAAGCGTCGTGGAGTGCCTTGGGGGGGTTTCTCGGGCCGTCTTGGGCCTATCTTGGGCGTCCAGAAACGGTCTTTCGACGACTCGGGGCCCGCTTGGGCCGTCCAGGGAGCCTCTGGAGGCCCTCCTGGACTATTTTGGACCTCCCCGGCCGCCCCGTCTTCCCATGGGGGGTCGGGGCAGCTGTTTGTGGGCCCCAGGCCTGCCCCCCCAGGGATATATATATATATATATATATATATGTTTATGCACATATATATATATATATGTATATATAGATATATTCTCATTATGTTGCCGGTGTTAATGTGCGCGGTATTTCACTGGTATCACCAAGAGACAAACCAAACCCACATGTAACATCAACGCCGTGTCAACCGTCTGCGCTTGAGCCCTTCAAGACATGCGTCCTGCGCTTGCCGGCAACAGTTCGCACACATAAGCCATGCTACTCCATGAAGCATTTTCCAGCAACCTCCCATCTGGAGGGAGGTCGAAAGCACTAGAACGTGACCCAGAAAGTGTGAGATTATTCGGAATAAGGATGGTCACATTCCGTACGAGCTTTGTTGATGCGACACGTAAATTCAGGTGGACATCTCGAAGGCTAGCCCATGCTGGTACTGGATTTGTTTCGACATGCATGCGCGTGACACGTCGGATCTGTATGCATAAACGGAAACCCTCGGACAGACATTACGCACCAAAGTAATCCGTGATTCCACTGCCAAGCCACAGATGACAACAACCATCGCCGAGTAAAACGCACTTGTGTGGTTCAAAAGGTACCAGCCATGCTTCGCGTAGCGACATTGGCGACCTACCATCAGAAACAATACATATTAAACGAAATTGACAATTCTTCCGGACACGTCTGCGCCGTAATGTTGTTTGCTGGCCGTCTGCCGTGCTGGCTACGCTTGTTCTGGAAGTGAATGTTATCCGGCACAGAAAGGCAAATCAACGATTGATACCGGACCAAGGCTCGTCAAGCAAATGGCCAACGTGCCTGAGGGCAGACTGGGCGATACTTGCCCAGCTCAGCAGTGGGAAGAGAAACGAAGTGAATCGTTGCCAAAGAAGACCGGACGCCAGCGACGCGCGGGGACGGAACAGGGGAGCACAGAAGGCGAAGAATGAGATACGCCTCGGCGCATGTGGTACCATTCGCGAGGACAGAACATGGGAGAGACTTCGAAACCAACGCAATGCCCTGGCCTGTGACGCGCGCTCGTCTACACATTCCGGTGCATTCGCTCCTGCCGGGATCCCTTTTTTCACAACGTGGACCCCCAGAGATGCGGAGCCCTGCATGGGGAACAGCTTTTCATCCTGAGTCGTTTGGACGGCCCCGAGGCCCCACAAGAGCCCCTGGAAGCCAAGAGCAACGAAAAACCTCCCGTCGTGATCTTTCACACCACGACGGGGTCTGGGTCCATGGCCCGCTCCGATCTCATGCCGCACAACCTGGAGAAGGCAACGGGGCGGTAGCTCCAGCGATCCAGACCACGACAGCGACCTCAAGGACTTGCGGAACGGGTGCCTCCACATCGGGCGGCGGGACAACGGGGAAGAGCATCGACACGCAGTGGCGACGACGACCAGGCGCACATGTGCGCGGGGATGCATCTTCGACGCCGGGAGCGAAGGCGGGGAACGCGAGGATTTGGGGCCCCTCTAGGGCCTAAGATAAGGCCGAAATCAGCGCGTCTCCCCTGAACGGCGACCGCGCCGTCCCTAGTATGTGTGATACGTGTGCTGATGTGCTGGCTAGCACACAAGTGCTCGCTCGGATATATTGTCCAGTCCACAACCGTGTCTCCGCTAAGTGCTTAGGCCCAGGGCAACGAATGACCCTGGCGTGCCGGGGCCTTCTTTGGTTGCGCATCATTGCGATCCTCGTAGCATGTTTTTGTCGTTTTTACTGTTTTGTTTTCTGCGTAACCAGCACCGTTGGCTCTGGAATGCCTGGATTCCTTCCATGGCGAAGTTTTGCGTCATCGGCCGTGCTTTGCCTTTGTGCGTCACTGGCCCCATTGAACCCTCACCATAAGCACAAACATCCAGACTCAGTGGTTTTCGACCTCCCAAAGCCTGTCCTTGGCCGTCAAACGTCGACTCAGACTGTAAAACCGGTCCTGAGGGAACACCTGCAGATCACTTTTCATCAAAACCCATGTCCCTGATGCTTCAACCTACCCCTTTGCCCCGTTGCCCAGGTTGCCAATGTTCTTTCCGGGTGGCGCGCTGTTGCGCCGCAAGCGCTGGTTGATACAGGTGTGTCACCAATCCTGGCAGGCCCCGCTTGCTGGAACAGGCTTTCATGGGCTGCTGATTGCCTCCACTCGCTTCCTCTTGCTTCCACGTGCTGCCATTTGCTTAAAGCGCATCTTTGCTGTGGCATACAGCCAGCCACTATTCGGAGTAGACGCATTCGCATCGCAAACGTGTATCAATCGCGGTCCTTTGCAACGCTCCAGACACGCTGTCAAAACGAATGCGACATATCCTTTCTGTCCTCGAACACTAGCTGGAACTGGTGTTCACAGCAGGCGGAAAACCGTTGCCCAGGAAACAACTGGCGGTCAGTGTCTGCACTGCATGCTTCCAATACCAGGGAATTGGCTGCACTCGGCAAATGATGTCCTGGACAAGCCTGGCGATACCTTGGCAGCCCCGTGCGTAAAATAAGCTCAAATCGAAATCAAACGCACACAAACAAACGTACCCACCTTTCCGGGTTCGTGAGCCACCGAACCTTCAACTGACCGGGGATGAAACAATGCCCATGTCAAACTTGATGAAAGACAGGCGGCACGCTCCACCGGTCCCAACAGGCAAACCGCAAATGGATCCCAACTGGATGTCGAGGGGGGATCAAGTGCCATTCCGCGTTGCGCTGGCGCGCCTGGCACAGACGCGTCGCGCATATGGCGCGCCAGGGCCGACTGGAGCGCGTGACGTACTTGCCACTCACGGTGCATCTGGCGCCCCCCTGGGCCCTTGGCCACCTTGCGAGATTGGCGCACCTGGTGTATGCATTGGTTCCAAGTGTCCTTCCATCGGATGCTGGCCACCGCCTGTGCTGAGTCTCTGGTGCTGCCTGTGCTGTGAGAGAGCGGGTGTGGGTGCGCGAGGCAACCTGAGTCACTCCAATTGGGAATGGACTCCGCCCCACCCTACCAAGCCCCGCCTCACACCGCCCTGCCGTGCCCATCCACTCACCCTGCTCAGGGCATCGGCCTGCCTCGCGCGCCCACAGCAGCGCCAGATGAGCTTCTGGGGCAGCTTGAGGCCCACGACGGCCAAGACCTCCCCTCCCTCCGATTCGGTACTCGATTAATGCTCCAGCCCGCCATCTGCCAGCGGCTGCGCTCTGGATGCATAAACCACTGATCATATCCTCCACCGTGGGATGAGCACGTGCGCAGTGGTGAATGGCAGGGAGGTTATCTCGGCGCTTGCCAAAGGTGCTCCTGGCCAAAGGTGTCCCCAGCTGTGCGCGCCATGTTGGGGTTCCTGGGGCTCTCTGGACCTCCCCCCCCCCCCTCCTCCTCTTCCTCCTCCTCTCCTCTCCTCCACTCCTCCTCCTCCTCCTCCTCCCCTCCTCCCTCCTCCTCCTCCTCCTCCTCTCCTCCTCCTCCTCCTCCCTCTTCCTCTTCCTCCTCCTCCTCCTCCTCCTCCTCCGCCCTCCTCCTCCTCCTCCTCCTCCTCCTCCTCCTCCTCCTCCTCCTCCTCCTCCTCCAGCACCCTCCTCCGAGATCGGAGGGGCCGCACCCGCTCCGGACCCCGAGCGCCGAGCGTATCCACGTCCGCGCCCTCGCGATTCGGACTCTGGGGCGCGATCCCGCGGGTACGCGGTCGCAGAGACACGCTCCCCGCAGGGCTGGGTTGTGCCGTGTCTGCCAATCAAATGACTTGTAGAGGTTCCGTAAGAGCGAAGCGGTGAAGCTAGAGAGTAATTCCGGCGCTGGCGGGCTAGTTGGCCCAAAACATCTCGACGGATGTTTTGCATAATTTTGGTCGCTTGAAAATGATGTTCTCGAGATTTGAAAATTCGTCAGAGCTCCAATCCGCGAACAAAAACGCCCCGGAGCTGCGGGGCCGCGGCCCAGGGGCCCGGCCCGTGAGGCCGCGGGTACGGATGTGTCTGCCGCCCACGAGGGAGCCCGCCCCCGCCCGAGACGCCCCTGGCCAAAGAGAGGTCCGGCAGCGCCCCGGAGGATTCCCAGGAAGCCCATGCAAGAGACCCCGGCACGGCGGCGGCATGGGTCGCATGCCGGCATAGGCACTTCGTTCAGCTGGGTTCAACACGCGCAGTACCGTCTAAACTCGCAGCCTGGACTTGCAGTCGAGAAATGCTTTGCAAGTTCGACGAGGCCTCTCGTGGAGCTGTTTGCGCTTCCCGTCGGCGTCGGACGCAGGGGTTGGACCTCCCCTGCTCCACCTCCTCCCTCTCCTCCCCCTCGCCCCTAATGCGGCACTAGTCCATTACCCCGACCATCGGCGGACGCAGCGCTGCTGCGACTTTCGATGCGAATGCCATTGGGATGTGCTGAGTGAGCTCGCAGAGCAACATAACCACATACCAATCAAGGGTAGTGGGCGGCTGCGCGGCGACAGTGTGACACGTGCCCAGCTGCTTCTCGCGTGCTGTGCACTTTCGAAACTGGCCGAATCGAACCTACACCCCCTCCTACATCCTGTCTTTTCCGGCACCTCCCTGCCATTCCCCTTGAAACTCCAGTGCGGCCCAATAGCCGTGTAGACGAGGACGAGTTGGGGAGCGTTGATGCTTCGCACAATGGGGTGCCAATTCGGCAGGGGCACAGTGGGCACAAGGAAAGCCTTTGGATGAAGCCACGCACTTGCAAGATGGCCGACGCGGGAGTAAGAGGAATACACATAACATTACCCTGTGACGTACCCAACCCATTTGTATCATGGGAAACGAGGAGCTGGCCGAAAATTGCATGGACAATCAAATTGCAGGATCCGTTGTTTGATATGTAAGCTACTTGGGGCACGCGCCTATGGCATGATGCGCAGGAGAACCATACAAGAACGAGGGGCGACAACTACAGGCTCGAAGAGGACATGGGGAGTCGGGAACGAAGAGCAGGAGAAAGACGTGCGGGAAGCCCAGTGTGCTGTGCCCCTCAGCAGCCCTCGAAAGTGGCGACAGTTTCACAGATCGCAGCCCCCCAGGGATGGCGAGGACTAATTTGAATCTGCGGCGAGTACCCACTGTGCTGGGCCTCCCCAGCAGCCCTCGAAAGTGGCGACAGTTTCACAGATCGCAGCCCCACAGGGATGGCAAGGTCTAATCTGGGTCTGCGGTGAGTACCCACTGTGCTGTGCCCCTCAGCAGCCCTCGAAAGTGGCGACAGTTTCACAAATCGGAGCCCCCCAAGGATGGCGAGGTCTAATCTGAATCTGCGGTGAGTACCCGCTGTGCTGTGCCCCTCAGCAGCCCTCGAAACTGGCGACAGTTTCACAGATCGCAGCCCCCCAGGGATGGCAAGATCTAATCTGAGTCTGCGGTGAGTAACCACTGTGCTGTGCCCCTCAGCAGCCCTCTAAAGTGGCGACGGTTTCGCAGATCGCAGCCCCCCAGGGATGGCGAGGTCCAATTTGAGTCTGCAGTGAGTACCCACTATGCTGGGCCCCTCAGCAGCCCTCGAAAGTGGCGACAGTTTCACAGATCGCAGCCCCCCAGGGATGGCGAGGTCTAATCTGAGTCTGCGGTGAGTACCCACGGTGCTGTACCCACCAGCAGCCCTCGAAAATGGCGACAGTTTCGCAGATCGCAGCCCCCCAAGGACGGCGAGGTCCCGGTCGTGTCCGCGCGGTGCCTCACCTTGCAGGACCCACCAGCAACCCTCGAAAGTGGCGACAGTTTCGCAAATCGCAGCCCCCCAGGGACGGCGAGGTCCCGCTCAGGTCCGCGCGGTGCTTCACTCTGCATGACCCACTAGCAGCCCTCGAAAGTGGCGACATTTTCGCAAATCGCACCCCCCCAGGGGCGGCGAGGTCCCGCTCAGGTCCGCGCGGTGCCTCACCCCGCAGGACCCACCAGCAGCCCTCGAAAGTGGCGACGATTTCGCAGATCGCACCCCCCCAGGGACGGCGAGGTCCCGCTCAGGTCCGCGCGGCGCCTCACTCCGCAGGACCCACCAGCAGCCCTCGAAAGTGGCGACAGTTTCGCAGATCGCAGCCCTTCAGGGACGGCGAGGTCACGTTTGGGCCAGCGGTGAGTGCCCTCTCTGCTGGCCTCCCCAGCAGCCCTCGAAAGTGGCGACAGTTTCGCAGATCGCAGCCCCCCCCTGGGACGGCGAGGTCCCGTTTGTGTCCGCGGTGGGTACCCTCTCAGCTAGCCCCCCCAGCAGCCCTCGAAAGTGGCGACAGTTTTGCAGATTGCAGCCCCCCAGGGACGGCGAGGTCCCGTTTGGGTCCGCGGTGGGTACCCTCTCCGCTGGCCTCCCCAGCAGCCCTCGAAATTGGCGACAGTTTCGCAGATCGCAACCCCCCAGAGACGGCGAGGTCCCGTTTGGGTCCGCGGTGGGTACCCTCTCCGCTGGCCTCCCCAGCAGCCTTCGAAAGTGGCGACAGTTTCGCAGATCGCAGCCCCCCAAGGACGGCGAGGTCCCGCTCGTGTCCGCGGTGGGTACCCTCTATGCTGGCCTCCCCAGCAGCCCTCGAAAGTGGCGACACTTTCGCAGATCGCACCCCCCCAGGGACGGCGAGGTCCCGTTTGGGTCCGCGGTGGGTGCCCTCTCTGCTGGCCTCCCCAGCAGCCCTCGAAAGTGGCGACAGTTTCGCAGATCGCAGCCCCCCAGCGACGGCGAGGTAGTGTTTGGGTCCGCGGTGGGTACCCTCTCCGCTGGCCTCCCCAGCAGCCCTCGAAAGTGGCGACAGTTTCGCAGATCGCAGCCCCCCAAGGACGGCGAGGTCCCGCTCGTGTCCGCGGTGGGTACCCTCTCTGCTGGCCTCCCCAGCAGCCCTCGAAAGTGGCGACACTTTCGCAGATCGCACCCCCCCAGGGACGGCGAGGTCCCGTTTGGGTCCGCGGTGGGTACCCTCTCCGCTGGCCTCCCCAGCAGCCCTCGAAAGTGGCGACAGTTTCGTAGATCGCAGCCCCCCAGGGATGGCGAGGTCAAAGGCGGGGGGGAAGAGAGGGACGGGAAGGAAGGAAGGAAGGAAGGAGACGCGCGAGCAGCGCTCTATTCAAAACGAGAACCCAACGCAGGAGGGTTGGTAATAAAAAAGCAGAGAGAGGCACACACACACATAGAGGCTTCGAGATTTGGATTTACATATAACGCACGCACACGTGTGTATACATGTGTACACACAAGTTAGATGTGTCAGTTTACGGTCGATTCATATATTTATACCTATACGACAACCCTTCGGGTGATAAGGAGGTTCGGGGGGGAGGAACCAACGTCTCACTCGATCGGTCTCACTATCGATCGCACTATCGATCTCAGTATCGGTCTCGCTCGATCGATCTCCCTCGATCGATCTCACAATCGATCTCACAATCGATCTCACTCGATCTATCTCACACTCGATCTCACTCGATCATCATCATCATCATCGTCCTCATCATCATCAGCATCATCATCATCAGCATCACCATCATCATCACCAGCATCAACATCAGCATCATCATCATCAGCAACATCATCATCAGCATCACCATCATCATCATCATCATCATCATCATCATCATCATCTCATCATCAACATCATCTCATCATCATCATCATCATCTTATCATCTTATCATCTTATCATCTTATCATCTTATCATCTTATCATCTTATCATCATCATCATCATGATCGCGGGACACCGCGGGACACCGGCGGGACACCGCGGGGCACCGCGGGACACCGCGGGACACCGCGGGACACCGGCGGGACACCGCGGGCCACCGGCCGCCCGGAAGGGAGACATTTGGTCCGGCCGCGCCTCAGCCACACGGGACACCAGCGGGACACCGGCGGGACACCGCGGGCCACCGGCCGCCCGGAAGGGAGACATTTGGTCCGGCCGCGCCTCAGCCACAGTAGACTTTCTTCTCGCCCGCCCACGCAACTTAGCCTCGCCCGCACGCACGGCACGCACGAACACGAAACCGAAATCGATTTCCCGGTAGGGGGCCTCTCCGTTCCACTTCGATCTCACCCCCTCACCTCCGATATACAGAGAGAGAGAGAGACAAATAGAGAGAGAGAGAGAGAGAGAGAGAGAAAGGGATGTACTAATACACACATCTATAAATACATGTATACACAAAAATAAG